CCCCAAAACCCCAAAACCCCAAAACCCCAAAACCCCATGAGTCTTATTTTCATATTAATAATATCAAATAAAATATTGCCAAATTAATTTCTAATATATGTATAAAAATCTTGTAAAAAATTGGATCAGTTCAAAAGCTACTAAGATTTATTCTTGTAAAATGGATCTTTGACAGCTGGATATTTATTAACTGTAGTAGCAAATGACTACTTTAGCTGTCCCTTGAACTTAAATTCTGGGTCTTCGACCTATGTATCAACTTCCTTCCAAAAGCGCTTTTATTACTTAGCCCAAGATAGAATTTAATCAGAGTTTTACTTAATCTCAATGTCCATTTATCTTCTGTTGTAAGATTTATTCTGATTTTGCAACTGCTATTCACTTGGAAGCATTTTGTTCATATTTCTCTTTAATTACTCTTCTTACAGATACTCCTTTAAGGCATGAGTTTATCGTCTGTGTATTTTTTATTAATCTCTCTGTTCCTTTATATTATTCAAGATACCAACTACACTCTTCAGATATGAAGATTGATCTCTGCTTGAAGTCTTGCCAAAACTGAAACTTGGCTGTTCAGCAAAGTATGAGTAATTGTGGTTGCTCAGGTTATTATGATAGCCTTGCTCGAACTCTTTCTTAGAATAGGGATAGAAAAAGTCACACTTTTCAATTCGAGATTTACTAAAGCCGAAAGGTATACTTACTTTCCGATATGTTGTCTTTTCCTATTCTAATGCTGAGATAGAATAGTTCATTGGTGCTGGAGTCACATTATATTTTACTAAATAAGTTTTAGGTATGTTTTTAAAATGACTTGAGGGATCATCATGGACTAGTGGGTTGTTCTCTCGGATCTTTGACTCAGAATTAGCATAATTAACTCTCAGGGTCCTAATCGGTGTCTTATACTTTGGTGCAGCATGCTTATTTTTTGTTCTATTGAAGGAGTAATTAACTTGGCACAAAGATCTATTGTCTTTTTAATCATCAACAATTGAGTCAAGTGACTTATTATCTTAGAGATATGAAGACTCAATTATACTTTGGTAAACATTAGGATTATTGGGAGATTTGCCACTTTAGTCTAACACATCACCACCTGATGATATACTCTGATTCCTTAAAGTCTGACTTTTAGGTAATAGTTTTGCCAAGAGTTTAGCTTGTTATTCTTTCAAAAGATTTTAATTTTAAAATGCCACCTAAGATGTAGTGTTTGAATTTCCAATCTAACTTAGCTTACTGTTACCTATGATCTAGCCATAAGGATTCTCTGATATAAGAGACTGAGGATTTAAAGTGTTTAAGTCAGCACAATTGTTGGCAAGTCTTGAATTACTTTGCTTTTAAGGAGATGTGGTTTCATTAGTTGAATCATTGTTAATAGTTTAAAGTAATGATTCTCTATTTGACTGCTGCAGTAAATCCTGCTATATTTATTCACTTATTTTCCTTGATGCTAGGCCAAACATAATAGGATTGGCGACTCCTCTTAAGAGAGATCCAGATCTCTGTCTTAGTCTGAGTATTTCACTACTGGATTGAGCTATTTATTACTGATAATCATGGTTTGGGCGCAGTGCCTCAAGATTGAGCAAATTTATCTGAGAGACTGACTGCTTTTTATCCCTAGAATCAAGAGTATTTCTTGTGAATTTAATATTTTCATAATTGGGAAAATTATCCATAACATAGTCACCTGCCTCTGAATCAGATGAGCTTTCACTTTGTTCGTTCCTAGAAGATGTTATTATACTGGTTTTGTTCATCGATCTTAGATCACCATTGTATGGATCATCACTTTTATCATTATACCTCTTGGTGCTATAAAATAATTATTTGACCAGCTAATAATTACTATTTTGATTAGATTTAGCTTTATTAATTCTTGATTTCATCTCTGCTCTCAAACTTCTTGGGGTTTATCTTCCAAAGTTTCATTTTCATCTCCTTTTCTGTTTTATCCTATATACTTAGCCACTTAATCTTACCAGTGTCCTGATCTAGCCTACATTATTCCTCTCATTCAAAAAGGGAACAAAGGTCTTGCTAAGTGGCACATACTCTAGCTATTTAGCATTGTCTCTTCTGGGCTACTATGGTATCTCAGAATGCCTTGGTGCTAGAAATGATCTGATCTTGTCTCTCAGCTGTGTCCTTTTAACCAGAAGCTTGTGACTTCCATATCGATTGCTGACTCCCTGGTCTCTTTCATCTGAGTTCACAAGAAAACTAAAGTTTTAAATGTTATCTTAGATCTGCATTTATAACCTTGATGCTGATATTTTATTACTGTATTTTATTCTAAATATATTGACAATAGGTATAAAATTTGACAAGAGGGGTTTTGGGGTTTTGGGGTTTGGGGTTTTGGGGTTTTGGGG